TACTTCAAACGCGCGTTCTTACGGCTGTCAGGAAAGAAGACCAGGTGAGTAAGAACAATGAATAAAGCGGTGAGGAAAAAGTAGCATCGTGAACACATACTCTTTGCGGTTGCCCTCGTCCCTCTGGACGAGCATGATCTTCTCCGCAACATACTTGGCTTGTTCGGGGAGACAGAAGCCAACAACGTCGCTCGTGCGAGGGTAGGTCTTCTTGTTCGAGTGAGTAACACCCATACCACCACCGAAGCACACGTTGAAGCCTTCCAAGTTGCCAGACTTGTCAGCGATGGCGATGAAGCCAACATCATTGGCGAAGATATCAACGTCGTTGTTGGGTGGGATGGCCAAAGCAATCTTGAACTATATCAAGTTGAATCAGTAATCAGAGCCCGACTTCCACACGATAATGGAAGGTGTGATGGAACGAACCTTGCGAGGGAGGTAGAATTCCCCGTACATGGGCTCAAAGTCTTGCACGGCATCACCAGCAATCAGCTTCTTGTCCAACCAAATCTCGTGATAAGCGGTAGTCTTCGGGAGCAGGTGCTCGCTGATCTCGATGGCATAGCGGTGAGCTTGTTGATGCAGGTGAGAGAGGTTGGGGTTCGACGAAGCAAGGACGTTACTAATAGAGAGAAAGAGCGCAGTCAGAGGAAAGATTCATGAACAGAACATGATGTGAGAAGTGGCTCACCGGTTGACATCACCACATGCGGCGATCGTATCCAAAAGGCTCTTGTTAATTCCCTGCATCAACGGCTTCAAGTGCCTCTTGATGACACCGTGGAACTGGAACGTCTGCCTCGTCGTCAGCTTGAAGGTACCGTTACCTCGCTCGTCCGCCAAACGATCCATCACCAACCACTGGTCAGGCGTGCACACACCACCAGGCAGACGTACGCGAATCATGAACGAGTAGGCGGGCTCGAGGCCCTCCTCCTTCCTCGCCTCACGGATATCACGGTCATCCTGCTCGTAGATGCCGTGGAACTTGGTGAGCTGGCCGTCAGAGGGAGCGAGCGCACCGGTGGTGGTATCTGCGAGGCCTTCAACGATGGTACCACGAAGGTAGTTGGACGCCGCCTTGATGTTCTCGTTGTTAATGGGTTCGGGCTCTGCCTCGAGAACCTCGACGCCAGCAACACCAAGAGCCTTCCACAGCTGGGGCTCCCAGAGCTTGTAGCCCGTCTGGGGGCCATCAGCATCCTGATCATCACCAAGACCGAGGTCCAGGACACGGGAGGCGCCGAGCTGCTCCAAACGCACATCAAGATCGCGGCCGGGCTTGTTGTAGAACCCAGCGTCCTCGGGACGGGGCCAGTACTTGCTGTCACCCATACCGAAGACGGTGTACTTGAGACCAGTTGGCTCATCACCAGTCGCATCCACACCAGCGAATGGCTTCTCGCTCTTGGAGGCAGCGAGGCCGAATGCCTTGATGAGCTCACGCCCGTTCTGTGGAGCCTCACCCTGACCGGCAGTGGAGGTGACAAACGCAATGGTGACGCCCTTCTTTCCCTCTTCAACGAGCGCATCAATGCTCGATGAGTCGAAAGTGGCGACGCGAGCATGGAGTCCACGAGCAATACCACGCTGGCCGAGGCGCTTGGCGATCTTCTCAGCGTTGCCACCATCGGAGGCATAGAGGACCAACAAGGGCGGGGCAGATGACTGCATCGCGCTAAGCAGAGCATCGTAGCTCGACTTGGCCTTTTGGACACGCGCATCGAGGAGCGACTTGCCAAGGCTGTTGACAAACTCGGAGGCAATCGCAGGAGTAGCGAGGGTGAGTTGGGAGAGGTGGTTCTGGCGATCGAGGAAAGCCTGGAGCTCAGCCTTGATGGACTCGGAGTCGAGGCTGAAGGGCTCAGAACCGGGGATATCCTTGGCAGGATTCCAGCGGTAGAGGGGCCAGTAGCCGGCGTCGACGGCCTGCTTGGTCTCCTTGAGGATCTGGAGGGCGGGATCCGTCTCGGTGATGTAAGGGAGATGCGCCAACACGACCGAAGGGCCGGGGTACGCATCGGCCTCAGCAAGGGCCTGGAGGCACTGCGCGTACGACGAATAGACGGCAATGGAGGCGACGTAAACATCGCCATGGTTCATCGCGTACAGTCCAGCATCCTTTTTCCTCTTGGATGGGTCCGCGGAGGCGCGTTTGGAGTAAGGCTGGGTATCCAGTAGGAGGAGGTTGACATTCAGGCCCGACGAGACGAGGTGGTGGAAGCCACTGGCGCCCAGATCGTACGACCAGGCATCGGAACCAATGATCCACTTGGAGGGCAGAGCAAAGTGCTGCTTCAACGCTAACACCTTGCGCACGGCGTCATCACCAGAGGGAACGATCTCCTCCAGACGAGAAACAATTTTGTCCCCAAGAGCACGGCTCTTGGCACCATTGTCCTTGGCCTTGAGCCATCCAGCAAGGAGGACTTGGATCTCCTCGCTAAGGACTGTGGATGGGCTCTGAAGAAGGTGCTCGACAGCTGCGACCAGGGCAGCGCGCTCGTCAGCCTCAGCCTTCACGCGGCCGAGGGCGTACTCAGGGCGAGTCGCGGCCTCACCCTTGGTTGCGACCAGGCTGGGATCGTTGGCGATAGCCAGGCGATCGGAGAAGAGGTGCTCAAGCAGGCTCGTGTATGAGCTTTCGTGGGATGGGACATGGGGAGCAGTCGCGGCTTCAGCTGGAGGGAAAGTAGGGGCGACTGAAGTAGAGTCAGTGCATGCTAGCAGAGCATCCCAGCCCGAGTGAGGAGTGGTAGGGCCAGCAAGAACGTTGGGAGGAGACGCGGTGGGCCACGACTGGACGGCACTCAGTACATCCAGGTACAGAGGGGTCCACTTGAGGGGAGCGTACACCGGCCCAAGGACGACAACCTTCTTGGTCGAAGTGGGAATTGCATTAAGCAAGAGGGAAGGAGGAAGAGGGCGAAGGAGGGAGATCGAAAGGACACCAGTCTCAGCAAGTGCTTCGGGATCTGCCACCGGGAAGGCACCTAAAGACGAAGACGTGATTCGTTCAGCGCATGTATTGTCAGAGATTGCGAATGTGACTCACTAATGGTGACAGCAAGTGTGGATGGATCGGCAGATCCAGCATAAGTGGACCATTTTACTGCTCGCCTTACGAGGCCCAAGGTCGATAGTGCAGCAGAGTAGTACGCACGGTACAGGTTCGATTCAGGGCTGTCATCCAGGTGGCTTGGGTGCAAGTCTGCGTGCACGGCATGAGACTTGCCGTTCCCATTGGCATGACCATTGGAGTGCCCGTTGGAGTGCCCATTCGAATGTCCGTTGGTATGCGCGTGACCATTGGCCTCGCGAGCAGGGGCATCCAAAAATGAGCGGATTGCAGAAGTTTCTACCTCTGTTGAGGCCGCATCGGATGCTTCGGCCACATAAATGTGCAAAACTGCCTTCTTCTCATTGGAGGCCAGCTTTGCAGCAAGCAGAGCATTGTCATGTGCCTGCTGAGCGCTCCCTGAAAACAGGACGAAGGGCACAGAAGAGCGCAAAGTGAGGGTGCGAGAAAGCTCGGCCACATTTACAGCTACATGGACAACAAGGGGGGAAGATGCTACAGGAGGGAGTGCGACAAGGAGACGCGAGAGTAAGGATGCAGAGGGATGGGAGATGCTCAACGTCGTCAATCCATTTGTCGACTTTGCAGAAAATATGGCTCCGGCAACGTCTGCACTGGGACCGATGTCTACCAGCTCAGGATTTGCCTCAGCTGCAAAGCGTGAGAAATCGACAGCAGGGCTGCTCTGCACAGTGACGAGCTTGCTGCTGGTAACATATGCAACACGTGAGATTGCGTCTACAACGGCGCTCGCGCTCGATGCCATGGAGGAGGGACTGAAAGGGCAGAAGGGGTGGCGAAAAAGAGACTGCTTATGGCGCAATCGACCTGCAGCTCACGAACAGTGTTCACACGCCCTCCCCACCCTCTTTATTCACCGCCCAACTGCATTTGTCTCATTTCCCTCACGCAAAAAAAAGTACGCGCCTATGAAGTTCCGGTATATAGATAAACGGTCGAAATCGCAAGAATTGCGACTTATCAGCCTGCTCCCCTACACATGTTTAATCCACCGCCCTTAGAAAAAGTATGCGCTGCGCTCCGAACGACTTATCAAGCCCCACAGAGCAGGACAGCTTGCCAATCGGAGGCAGTTCGGTATGGTCTGCTGAGCGCTTGCCTTATTACCCCAACGAAAAAAACTCCACGCTGCCCTGGGGCCTGAGCACGCCATAAGAATTGAGTCTCTGGCCCGCATTCGGAATAGCCATTCGGATTGATGGATAAACTGAACGACGCGAAGTCGAACGTTGTTACGAACATACAAACATCAGTGTATATTGCTACTCCGTTGCGTTCCGATTCGGTGGTGCGAGTGCCGCAGGCGGACACTTGGTTACTTAGGCACGGGCGACATTTAGAATGCCGGGAACATGTCAGCCTCACAAAGCCACTCCCTTCCCACGACGATTGAAGCAACATGGCCTCCACTGACATCTCAAACCAAGCCCTGGCGGCTCAGAAACGTCGGAAATTCCGGTCAACAATGCAGAAGCTAAAAGGAGCCCGTTTTGGAAAGCGGGAGAGGAAATCAAGACGTGGCATGGGTCAGTGGCGTGCGATGATACCCGTCTTCAGCCTCGAATCGGTGCTGCACCTTCTATCCTTATCCTCTCACCTAAGATGATGGTAGCCTATTCTCACTTACAAGGATGAATGAGGACGGAGCGTATTTCCCGAACTCGGAGTTGAAAAGCGAGGAAGCCCATTCGACGGTGCAATCATGCCTCCCCATCCTAGAGCCACTCCTCTTTTCTCAGGTCCAAGAAATATTGACGCCTTTAAAGCGCTGAAATAAATACCCTGTAGTGGACCATCCACCATCAGATCAGATCCAGGACTCCTGTTCAACGAGAGAGAGGAAAGGGGCCCAAAAAAAGATACACACAACAGGAAACCCTGAAGAGAAGCAAAAATGTGACCCGTACAGGGGTCGAACCTGTGACTTTAGCGTTAACTTGTTATTAGCACTACACTCTAACCAACTGAGTTAACGGGTCTTGGATGTCGGATGGCTTGATGTTCCAGACATGATTTGAGGCACAATGAAGCCCAGTGTAATTGAACCACTGCACGAACCCACTAGATTCATACGATGAACACGTCCTTCTTTCCTTGAGAATAACTCTATGGCAGATCGAAGTTGCATACCAAACAAATGCAGGTCTCAGTAATTCAAGAGTCAGAGCTGATGTATCCATGAGAGAGCAAGATACAAATCTATCAGTTCGAAAGTCCTCAGGGTCGTGTGTGCCAGTATTCCCGGGAAGCGCATCGTATGAGAGTCCAGTTTCAGCTCAATAGTACGAGCTTGCACCCTTGCGCCCACGCACACCTGCGCTCAGAAGGTTCAGCCGCCCCTAGTGCAAATTTCTCGAAGTAGGAAGCAGACGAAACTCGCGGCTAATATGATATTCAAATGATGTCGGGAGTTGTATTTCTCGAGATTGTCAAAGGCCACCATGAAGGGATGTCTGAGCTTTGGCGTGGAAACGGCCGCATAGCCGCAATGACCCAATAGCTTTCGATGCTCTTTCGGACGGGGAGCATTTTTCGGATATTCAGGTCATCTGAGCAAGCTCGGGGTAGTTGAAAATGGCTATTTAGATTCGCGATTATCATGTGAAGTCGTGATGATCAGGGGAGTGTAAACACGCGACAACACGCAGCATCAACGCGCGCACTCACCACCCCTACTACAGTTTCGATCTCCAGCCACCCCGTTCGCCACAACAGTCATGGCCTCTAAAGCAGCCAGCAAGCGTGTAAGTCTCGGCGACGTTTCCGAGGCTGTTGTCAAACTTTGTGCCACGAGGCGCGCTCTGACTCGTGGTTTGCTTGCATCTTGCATCACAGTTATCAAAGGAGTATGTCGCTATGCAAACATCGCCACCACCGTTCGTGTTTGCATCACCAGACGAAAAGAACATCCTGACCTGTACGTTCTATCTCTAATGCCTGGCCCAAACTGTTTCCGGACAACACGCTTGCTGACTTGATGCTGGTCGCCTCCTCCGTAACATCAGGGAACTACATTATTGTGAGTTCCCCGATAACTCTTCAATAGGTACTATCCAACTCACACCCTCCCTGTGACTCCAGCGAGGTCCTCCGGATAGCCCCTACGCCGGCGGGGAGTATCATGGGCAGCTCCTTTTCCCCTCGGAGTATCCTTTCAAGCCCCCAGGAATCAAGGTCGATATCTGTATGCTAGCCGCTCGACAAGCCTTCGGTCCTGACTTCCATGGGTTCCCCGTAGATGTTGACGCCTTCTGGACGCTTCCAACCCGATAAGAAGATCTGTTTCTCCATGTCCGACTTTCATCCGGGTACCGTAAGTTCGCGACATTACCTTCCAAATCCCCTTTCCATGTCGATTGACCCCAAAATATTATTCTAGTGGAACCCAGCATGGAGCGTTGCCACAATGTGCGTAAAAAGAAACGTTCTAATTGCCGAGCGTAATGACATTGACATCATTTTCGGTGTCCTCAGCCTGACAGGTCTCCTCAGCTTCATGCTATCGGATGAGATGACTACGGGGTCCGTAACCAGCAGCGATAGGGATAAGCGGATACTGGCTAGTCGGAGTCATGCTTGGAATATCCAGCAGAGGAAGTTCCAAGACGCTTTCCCAGATGTACGTCCTGAGTTTGTCTCAGATCACATCCCTGATTTAACACGCCCACCCATAGTACTGCGGGACAGTGTTGAAGGATCTTCCCAATATGGGGGAGCGGGATCGTGGCACTGGTGCCACCACTTCCCCAACAGCGCCATCTACAGCAACCCCAAGTAGCGTATCATCCACCACCATTCTCACTCCGATAGGCGGTTCCACCACTTCTTCTCTACGCACTTCCCCTACCCCTTCTGCAAATCTTGTACAACGGACGCCTACTCCTACAGTACCCGCAGCTGTTCCCTTGGAAGCAGGATCCACCCCTCAACCTGCCCCTGGCGTTCCGGCAGCTCCCAACGCAAGACCCAACGTCCCTGCAAATCCTGATGCAGCGAAGGGATGGGCAGGATCACTAAGAGAAACGTTGTGGGCGAAATGGAGGTGGGGCATCCTGATCATCCTGGCGATAACAGTGTCTCGCTTGTCGGCTTTATGACTGGGATATTGAACAGTGTTTAGCCGATTCGGGTATCTCCCTAACGTGATGGGGAACTGGGACAGGGGCCGTGGTGCATGTTTCCCTCAAGTGGCTAGTTACTGCGCATCCTTTCCCCCTTTGCATATCGACGCGCTTGAAGATCATCCCTCCGATCGTTCGATGGAATTTATCGTCACTAATTCACATCACTCCTTTTGATACCTCTTTTCTTCCTCAATCAGTGAATCCCACCCCCCTTCCTCATCCACTCTTCCATACAGATAGCGGACTTTCCTTCGATCGTGTAGTAACTCAGTCAATATCCACAATCCAACCCATCTTGTAGTGTGAATCTCCTGCGGGTCCAACGAGTGATAACAGTGCGGGAATCCGTGATATCATGAGAAGTGATCGTCAAGCTTCACGAGGCCGTGTACCCAGGCACAGGATTCTCCCCCCGCTTTCCCCACAGTCCTCGTCTTCACATGCAAAGGTCGTGTACATTTCCAAAGGTCCATGAATATAGCACTGTTAAATACACAACTATTGAGCTTTACCTGTTGCTGTTGAGCATACGATGGAGACTCTGGCACTTATTGCAAGTGGTTCCATAGCCTCTTGATAGTGCCCTGCGCAGTGCTGCCGGCCTCGGCCCTGGTATGAACAAACGGCTTGACGGCCTCCCAGACATCATCCCACACCTCATCCTGAGTTCTCCCTGCATCGATGCGGCACCACTTTAACGAAGCCCCAATCTCGCCCCCATTCCCAATATCGGTAAACTCGCCCTCGATGCGCCGGAAGACCTCGCGCACTCGGCGTTGCAAGTCCGCCTTCTCGTACCGCTCTTCGCCAAACCCTCCTCGCTGTGCTTGGATTTCAGGCGAGACGTCGAGGAAGAGGACAAGGTCTGGTGCAGGGAGACCGATGTCTGGAGCGCGACACCACTCGTAGGTCAACGTCGAAGTAGTGGTGGAGGTGGGAGGAGGGACATTTGAGGAAGGGTCTGGTTTCGAGCTTGGGGCTGTGGGGAGGGACTTTGCGGTCGAGAATGCGATGCCGGAAAAGGCATAACGGTCACAGATTATGCTAGTCCCAGATTCTAAGAGCTGCACCAAGCTCTCGCTATTGGCATCACATTATTTTGACAGATATAGAGAGAATCAGCCTGAGACGAGTGGGCGCTGCAAGACGTAAGGGACTCACGCCGCTTCCCAGCGGTTCGCAGAGAACAGGAGATGGATTGCGCGATCATCTAGATCGGACTGGGATTGCAAGTATGAATCAATCATCTTTCCTGTGGCCGTCGTTCTATCTGATCCCAGAACAGTATGTGAGATTATGAAATCACGCTAGCCAATATTTCCACCGCATTACCTGGGAATTTCTGAAGCTTGACCGGCACCCCATCCGCCTCAAGCTGGCGATGAAGTGCAGTGCATTGAGTGGTCTTCCCAGAGCGATCGAGCCCCTCTACAACGATAAACGCGCCGCGGGCCATTTTACACCGGTTCCCGTTCGCTTTGAGCACGAGCTATAGAGCAGATAAGAGAATTGAAAGAATACGCGTCGCGAAACGAGTGGGTCGTGTTGATACAAACAAATGACGCAGCTTGTATTGGCATGCGCTTTCAGGTATTGTAAAGGAATTAGGGGTATTTAGGACATGGGGGTTTCGGGAAACACGTGAAGAGGCCAGATAACTATGGCATGTGATAGGATTCGAACCTTTGGATCGACCGCAGTTAGCGTGGTGTGTCGAAGCAATGACTGCACGGATTTACCTGTTACACCAAATCTACTCGAGGCCCATTCCCTTTACGCGAGCCTTCGCGATGAGCCCCACATCCTTTACCGCTCTCTCTAGTTCTCCGTTCCATTCATCCGTACCCGGGAAATTCATTCCAACCCCCGCCTCTTCTCCTGGCGCAAATCCTAGCAGCCCCTCCATCTCAGGGATGATCTCCGCCCTCGATCGCCCATTCACAAAGGTGATGAATCGCAGGCCCGGGAACGCCTTCTCGTATTGGTCATTGAGGTATTCAAGGCGGGCAAGCACTTCGGGAGGAGTCTGCTTCGACGCCTGCTCAGCAGCGCTGAGCGCTGAGAGATTGGATACTTCTCCAATGCGCGGATGCCCTGAGATGAACACAGCGCGTTCACTGTCCTCCCATGTAGCAATATCTTTCATGGCGAGGTCAATAAGATCGGAATAGGACTTTGGGAGCGCATCGCTGGGGAGGGCGGCGATGGTTGAGGCGATCGAGGGCGCTAGGGTGGCGTCGATGATATCGGAGGGCTCGAAGAGCACACCATAGGTCTCCGCGAGGAATTTCTCGGTCAAGCCCGCGCTTTCGGCCTCGTTCCACGGTTTGAGAGCCATTCTGGTGACTTCACAAAGTTGATTCCTTTTATCGAGGAAGCTCGAATGGATGGGCGCACTCTCTCTCGGTACCGAGTCTCAATTTCCCAACACACACCACAACACAGTTTCCTTGGTATGCTGCCCAGTGCCCGTTGCGAATGGTTGAGCTCTTTCACTGACGATCGGACACAGTGATGTCTGAATCGCCGCCTGCACCACCAGAGGGGAGTCCTCCCCCCGCACCAGGGAACAGTGGCTCTCCAACTGATTTCCTGAAAGCAGTCGTTGGAAAGCGCGTGGTCGTCCGATTGGTCTCTGGTGTCGACTATCGAGGTGCTTCACAGCGCTCCCCTTCATCCTAACCTCATACATCTCAAACTCTTCTGCTCTATCATAGGTGTTTTGTCATGTCTCGATGGGTACATGAACATCGCTCTAGAACAGACAGAGGAGCACGTCAATGGCAAAGTGACAAACCGCTACGGCGATGCGTTCATCCGAGGGAACAATGGCAAGTTTCCATCTCAACGTCCAT